AACTGCAACATAAAATTTTGACCAGGACTTTTCCTTGGACCTTGATATCACTTTTTTCTTAAATAACTATATGCATGTAACACAGTTTCAACAAAACAATTCCATATGCTTTTATGTAAGCTTATGCACTGATGCAAAATTTGTTAAGAATTTATCAACTTTGTTCATCCTTTTTACCTGGACCTTTCCAATGACCTTTTTTTTTCAAGATATTATCATCAAACTTCATACACAAATGCAAATTTTCATGATGCATGATAAGCCCTAGTAGGGGTATTCATGTCCTATGGTCAAACTTCTAGTTTGTAGTATATTCCCATGCAAATTTTTAATCCCATACTGTGGCTCCATCCTCTCAAAGGGCAATCTCCTATGCAGAGTTGTCATTCGTTCCTCTCTCAGACACCTCTGCAATGGGCTCGCATCAAGATTTTGACATTATAATGTAAAAAACATAACATTCCCAGAATTATTTTAAATTAAATTAATAGTTCTAGATCTACTTGGAAAGTAGCTACCTTTAGGAACAAAATTAGTGCAGGCATTTAATTAAAATGAATTTAAACAAACACACTATTTTTCATGTTTATCACTGTGATATATGCGAGCAGATGACAGAGGTGAATGTATGAGCCGATGGTAGAGTGCTCAAAGGGGTCTTATTTGACTGAAAATGAAACTATGCTATGCCAGGAAGTTTTCACATAAGTTTTAATTTTTCTGCCTAGTGGTTCTTAAGAAGATTTTCAAATGACACCGTCAAACATTAATTTTCTCTTTATGACCTCCCCTTGGCTCTTCATTTGAAAAAAATTAAATCCTTTCCACCAAATATTGTCTAGTGACAAATTTGGTTGAATTCTGGAAAAAAAAGTTGAAAATGTGGAAAGTTTACAGATGACTCAACATTTATGAATGATAGACAGATGCCAGACACTCTTTAATCAGAAATGTTCACTTTAACCTTGGGCTCAGTGAGCTTAAATGTACAGTATTTAATAATAATTATAAAGTAGATGTCTGTTTTCAATATATTAAGAATGTAAATATAAATATAGCACCTACTATATTATCCACATCCTAAAATTTATATATTCTGCAGCATGTTTTTTTTTTAAATTGTACTGCAGAATATATCAATTCTAGGATGTACATAATTTTCAAAAATTCTGATTAATGTAAAAATGTGCAATTACTCTTTAGATTTTCTTAATGCCCCCCCCCCCCCTTTCCTGGCTAAATCTGCCACTGTGATAAATAAATCAATTTCTAATTCTTTTGAACACTGAATGTCCTTTTTACCTCTGTGCCATCCATAATTCTTTGAATGTAAAATCCTTTTCTTTCTTTACAACACTGTTTTCTTTTTTTTTTAAACCTGTATACTTCTATAAATCAAGATTCTTTGTATAGCTCCTAAAATAAAATGTGCAAATTATTCTTTAAACAAGAGGCCCATGGCCTACATCGCTCACCCGAGCACTTTGGCTAGGAAAAATTGGAAATCAGTTCAGTATTGAAAAGTTTTAAATATATGAGTGGTCACAACCTATGGGGGGCATGATTTGAACATACTTGAATCTACACTAAATGAGTATGCTTCCATATTTATTTGACTCATCATGGCTTAAGAAGATTTTTAAAGATTATTTTGTCATAAGTTTTATCATCTATTGGGCCCCTCCCTACCCCCACGAGTCCTGATTTAAACAAACTTGAATCTATACTTTAAGAGAATGCTTCCATATAAATATGACTAATCATGGCTTTGCTGTTTTTGAGAAGATTTTTTAAATTTTCTCTATGTATTCCTATGTAAAACTTTGATAATCCATTATAGCCCCACCCTACCCCTGGGGGTCATGATTAAAACAAACTTGAATCTACACTACCTGAGGATTTTTCCACAAAAGTTTCATCTTTCCTGGCCCACAGATTTTTGAGAAGAAGATTTTTAAAAGATGATATTAATTTTTCACTAAATTAATTTGTAATTATCTCCAGTTGGAAGGAAGTGTGGCTTTTATTTGAACAAACTTTAACCCCCTTTACCTCAGGATTGTTGTTAAGTTTGTCGAAAAAGGTCAAGCAGTTCTTGAGAAGAAGTCAAAAATGTGAAAAGTTTAAAGAGATATGGACACCAGACAAAATGTGATCAGAAAAACTCACTTCAGCCTTTGGCTCAGGTGAGCTAATAAAAAGTAAAGTAATAAAAAAAAGTTATCGCCTACCTACCTTCCCTAATATTTTTGGCATGTTACCAGAAACAAACACATTATAATTTTTTTATTGGCTTAAAGGGAGAACAGTCCCTCATGCCAGCTGATCCCAGATTGACCCCACAAAGAGAAATACTATTTTGAAATATGCTAAAGTTGTCTATTGTTAACAAAGGCTATACATGTATTTTTAAATGATATTTATCAAGGACTTAGTCACCTTACCAATAACTTTTGAAATAGAGTATCGGGGATCCCTTGCACTGTATTCCGCAATTCCTGCTTCCAGGCAGAATTTATTGTTCAATAGTTCCATTTCCTATCTGAATTCTCTTTGAATCTGTGGTAGAAAAACAAACTGTATGCAAAATCTAAAAAATATCAACGGGTACATGTACGAGTATGATTATGGCATGTACAAAGGAGTAGACATGGTAGATGAGAAATAATTTTGGTTAGGAAAAACATTTTTCACCATGTTAAGGTCACTACCTTTTTATAAAGGGGTGGGGGTAGAGGTGGCAAATTTTGTCAAGTCAGATTATTTATTTATTTTTAGCATTCACAGGACAGAATATTTATTTCCAGTTGATCTAAGAATGATTATTTACTTTCTTTTCTTGTCCAAAATCAGAAAACCACTTAACCACATGCAAGAAGGGTGTGTGTGTGTGTGTGTGTGGGGGGGGGGGGGGATATCACAGTGACAGTCATGGTCTGACAGGGTCATTGTTTTCCTTTATTTCTAGCAATGCCAGTGGATGAAGTTAATTTACTTAAAAATCAAGGTTAAAATATTTATTTCCTTAATCTATCAGTCCCCCCAATCAAATGATCGTCCCTATATGCTCTTAATCAGGCAGGTGGTTTTAATAAAGTACTAGTATGTGCTTAATCTCACATTTATGCACATGATCTATTTCTGACAGCTGTCTGAGGCAATTCGAACTACCTGTTTGTTCGGTAGCTCCAGCTTAATTACAATAAACTGACAGCTGATTCAAGAGACATTATCTGAATGATGCCAGTCATTTACATGTACATTAATGATTAGTCTTTACTTACCGCTTATAGCCTAGCTAACGTTGGACTTTCTGTCTTCCACTTTGTTTACATGATCGAACAGCGCACATGGCCTTTTCACGTGACGATCTCCCTCGCATCGACGCTTGTTTTCCGTCACGCTTCAAATAATATTTCTCCACGCTTCAAATAATATTTCTCCACGCTCAAGATAATATTTCCTTCACGCTTCAAATAATGTGTGCAGTCACAATTATAATCGCGTCTCAACATAATTATTGTTTCAACAGGAGGACAGAGTTTTCGTTCCTGTCACTAGAAAAGAAGTTATCTTTCCTGTTGAAAAATAAAAATAATTGCGAACAAGGGCGCACATCATTATTATTGTTGCAAAGATTATAACGTCGACTTGGTACATTAAAATTTTTAAGCGTGTACATTTTTATTTATTTTCAGTCAGTACATTATTGTTACAGGAGGTGAAGTCTTATAAATTGTTGAAGCAAGAATAATTATAATCTTGGTGCAAAATAAAAATTATGTGTACGAATCGACTGACAAGATTATAATTTGGAGGTGTATAAAAATAATGTCTCCGTACTAACTGAAAAGATTATAATTGTAAAGTGAGAATAATTATTATAATGTAGGGGCAAAATAAAAATAATGAGTACACATGGACGGACAAGATTATAATTGTTGTAGGAAAATAATAATGTAAAAAAAAAAAAAAAAAAAAAAAAAAAAAAAAAAAAAAAACAAGATTTTTATTTTGGGATGAGATAATTATTTTTGGTATAATTATATAGGAAAAAATAATAATAATGTGGGGGTACCCTACGGCTTTCCATAGTCTCCGTACTAACTGAAAAGATTATAATTGTAAAGTGAGAATAATTATTATAATGTAGGGGCAAAATAAAAATAATGAGTACACATGGACGGACAAGATTATAATTGTTGTAGGAAAATAATAATGTTAAAAAAAAAAAAAAAAAAAAAAAAAAGAAGCAAGATTTTTTATTTTGGGATGAGATAATTATTTTTGGTATAATTATATAGGAAAAAATAATAATAATGTGGGGGTACCCTACGGCTTTCCATAAAAAATAAAGTTCTTAGGAATAAAGAGTGATTGACAGTGCTGTGCCTAGTTAATTTGCTTCAGTTTCATTAGCTTGTAGCATTGCGTTTCCAGAATTGAGACTTGGTCTTTATCCCCGAAGAGGCTCTTTATATCGGTAATAAATACTTTCTCTTAATTAAAGTTGTACTGTGTACTTTCATTATAATTGGTATGACAAATTCGTTACACAAGTACAACTTTCACTGCATGCCCCGACATTGAATTAATTTTAATGTAAATATAAACTTTTTATTATGTCTTACTCATTTTTATCAAATTGTTTTTTGGGATATCAATTGGTTAACAGATTTAGTTTCGGGGTCTCTATTGTTTCCAACTTTCTGCTACTTTCGCAGAATTTTGTTTTAATTCTTTCATTACTCTTTCTTTTTTTACTCTTTAGTTGAATGGTTGAATGGTTTATATTGACACCCTAAGCCTTTTCACCTAAAGAAAAAAATTACAAGCCAGGTAAAAAATAATCATCTTACGATTTGTTATTTTTTAAAAATGGAAGTTTCTGCATAAATATGGTTATTCATGTATAGTAATCCCCTTTGCACTTGGAACCCAGGTATAATAGATATCTTAGAGATTAAGATTAATTAACAAGAACGTAACCAGTAACTTACCTTCTTTCCTCAAATTAAATGCCCCTCAAATGCAATACCGTAAACGTCTCTGGAAGAGGAAACGTTGAACTTTCACTGAATTTAGGGCACGGTTTAGTGACTTGCATAACTAGTAAACTCTGCTCTCTTACACGATTTATTAGCATTCCTTTTTATCCAAGGGATTCTTTTCTTTTTTTTTGGAAAAATTTGGAGCAATGATACAGCCTGTAAATATAACGTACATGTATAAGCTAAAACAAATAACAAGAAATGATGGAGCATTATACCCATCACCCACCCCCCAAACTAAAATATTAAAAATTACTGGATGTAAATAATACGTCAAGTTCAATAGTTATGTACCGGACTGGAAAAATTAACAATTTTACAGACTAGCTGGGAGCCGTTTTACAAAGAAAAAGGGTGTAGATAATGATCGATCTTAGACCAAATAATTAAGTCTTAATTCTTTTTAAAGAGATTATAACCATTTTCAAATAAATAAGAAAAAGAGATTTATTAACAAAATTACATTCTGGTCTTTCGTAAAACGGGGCCTTGATCATATCATAAACTGCTGTGTAAATGATGAAATATTGTCCTCTACCTATCAACCTTTTTTTCCATTTTTAATACATCTGTATTCTGTATTACCTTCACTTATCGTGAATGGAGCTGTAAAATCTATTAAAGTTTTATCATGTGAATGATAATTTCTATCGCTGTCAAAAATATGTGGTTCAGTCAGAATTGCAAAATATAGAATTGAATATTATTCTAATCTTATATCCTTCATATTGCAGATGGAATTTAACTGCATTAACTTTTAACAGCAAAAACTTTCTAACTACAAACAAAGAAAAGAGTTTTCAAATCGACTCCTGATATGCATCCTTCTGGTATACTGTTGGTGCGCACATCTATCTTCCTCGTATTCTGCTGGTGGAGCTATCTATCCTCTTGGCACATATCTATTTTCCTTTGCATTCTGTTGATGAATTCTATATATGAATATAATAATACCTGAAAATAAATAAATAACTCCGTGTTGGACATGGAGGAGATGTTAACAACACCTATATACATGCATAATGGATGGTGCATATTGTGGAGGGGTGGGTTTAGAGAGGGGCTCAGCTTTCAGTCTTCTGACAAAGATCTTACTTGGTATGATAGTTAGAAAATAAAAAGCAAACTTTCTCAATACAACATTTACAATGAATCAAACACACTATTACATTGATGGAGGACACAGATACACCACCAGGATTTGTCAGATTACAGCTTCTAACATCACCAAGACACAATTTTATTGCATCGGCACTCTTTTCTTGTTATAGAGAAAAAAATGGTTTCAAATGAACAAAAATTACAAATCATTTTAAAATATCGATGGTCATGGTCCTTGCACAACAGGTTATGTTGGAAGTATTGAATTTGATCATGCCCATTGCAACAACCCAGTATCCATTGGGCAAAAACGGTGAATTATTCCACATTCATCTGCATATGGCGTTAATGTCTCCCAGCTTATTCGATACTCAAGACATTCTTTGAGTACGATCAATTTTTAAACCGAGGCAGTCTACTGACAAATAAATTAATGTTACAGTGATTTCAACAACCTCGTTTAAAGTCAGTATATCGTAAATTCTATGGTCGCTATAATGACCCGTGAGCGGTCTAGGGTTATTTTATTTTAATTAGATGGCTTTCTCATTTTATTAAACGTCATCATACCAATTAAGATCATCAGAAATTATTAGAAATGAAAACCTATTGAAATAAAACTTAATAAAATTAAAATTTGATTTTTCTGAGAAATAAATCAAAAAAGCAGAATAGCGTTTGAAATAAGAAGATTTTTTTTCAGATGGTGTTTTCTTTTGTATTCATTACTTCAAAGGATATCCAGATGCAAAAAGACATACGTAAAGTTTTTTTTTCAGATAAGGTACAAAAAAAATTGATACATTCATTTATACTATTACAGTGTGATTTTGAATTTTTAATAATTGTTGCTAAGTTTATGCAATACTTTGGTTTCCATGTTCGCCATCCTAGCCGTGAGTCTAGCACTTCAATGGTTTTTACTTTTGAGGAAACCTGAAAAAAAATAATTTTTAAAAACTATTGTGTATGTCAACACCTGTGGAAAATTTATGAACTGGGTCTCAGTTTTTTTTAAATAGTTTTAAAAACTCATTATTATAAATTGATGTATGAACAGATGAAAATTTGAAGTATTGGTACTGGTACAAGCCATGTTCATAGGGACAAGGGATATACAATGTATGCTGAATGCAAAATTTGACTTTAAACAGAGATTACATTGTCTGAGGTTTTGGGTTATATTCTGTCCACAGAATAGGTGTTGGGTTGGTACAATTTGATCTTCAAATTTCACTTTTATGCTGTATTATGCCAGAATTTGAAGGGGAGGTTCACTTCTTATAATAAATGACTAACTTCACTAGTACTACATATAACAATTATGTGCAACAAATACTACTGTAAGTTTTCATTGCAAATTGAATTATCTTCATATACAAATTTTAATGAAAATAAATATTGTTAATTGACAAAACATCATCGATATACCTAAATGTCGAATTGAAGACCATAGCAAGGGACTTCCTCTTTTCATGTAAAAGTTTTTGAATAAATTCTGCTTCGTAAGAATATAGAATTAGATTTGTTCATAATTGGGCACAGTTTCTACTCATGGGAATTCCAACTAATTGTTGGAAAACATGGTCTCTAAAGACTACGTAGATATTGTAAATTTAATAAATAAATAAATATTGAATATTTCTCCATTTTAATGGATAGCTTACTTCAGAAAGCAGAGTTCAAACTATTTTCTCAGTCAGATTTGCCTATTTTAAGCAGTAGTAACAAATATATCCTATAAGCTTGTCGACAGGAACCCAAATTTTCGATGTCCCCAGTATGAAAATAAACACAAAAGCAAAACTGAGAATGGACGCTCACATCTATGTTTTTATACAATACATGTACGTGCTAGAAAACCAATTTCTAAATCCTTAATTTTATGGGATAAAGATGTCTCCGATGCTTTTTTTCATGTTTCTTGTTGATTGCCATTATTTATTGGAATGCTTTAAAAACTATTTCCTGAATGTTCATTTAATGCTTTATACCTTTTCATCTTTGTGCACCACAGAAACATGGATCACCTCATCATTACTAAACACCGAGTTCTCCACGCCATTAGATGCACCTCTTTCCATTTTCTGAATAAAGAATAGAGAAGTACGATTGAAATATACATGACTGTTTGAAATACACAAATAGCACTGATTCACAAGAACACATTATTTACTTATATGTCTTTAATTTTATGTTTATTGCTGCATGTCAATTAATGTTAGTAATTAAAATCGTAACCTAACGGTTCATACACTTCACACGTAATGCAAGTGTGTCCGTACAACCGTTAACATCTTATTGGTATTCATATTACAACCCAAAATGCATAAAAAAAATATTAGCTGATACAATAAATGGTTTACACTACATTCAACTACTATATTAGAATTTCAGTTGAAGACTTGGTGTTCAGCTTATTTTTATTGGAAGACCGCTGTATCCAATGAATTTTAAATATTGGAACATATTTTTTTATGATACGTAAGTTTCTTTTATTGGATAATAAAAATGCCAATCCAAATCTTCACATGCATACAAGGTAAGCATAATGTTAAAGTTTGGATGCTATTAAATTTTGCAAATTTAATTGAATTTGATTCGATTCAAGTGCAGAGGAAATTATCGGGAAATGTGAGGAATAGGGGAGGCGTTTACAAATTCTATTTTTGTAAATGTATGTAAGCTAATTTATGATTAGATGTCAGCAATTTAGATATTAAATGAGAGTCAATCTGCAGATGCTTTCTGCAAGGTTATAGCATTATGTTTCATATATTGAAACTATGGACCCTTCCCCAAAAGATGGATTTGCGATATGAATGATATTAACTATCCCCAATTATCCCAATTACATCTGTACAGTCTAAGTAGTTATAGTTTGATTAGAGAAATCCATGATTAGGGAACAATCAACTCTGCTTGAACATCAAAATATGTCAATTTTTCATCGTCCTAATTTTAATACAAGAATGTTTTCTGGATCATCTGTTAGTCCTCAAAATATCCCGGAGCTTGATTTTTACCTTTCTTTGTGTTGCATGAATGAAAAAAAAACAACTTCAGTATAATCTTTTCCTACTTTTTTTGTGAAATAGTTAATTAAAAAAAACTTTTTACATTAAAATAAAAATTACTAATCGAGAAGAAATTAACCTAGTGATTTGTTAATATTTGAATATACAAAATGACATTCTTGTATCCGGTAGTCATGAATTATTTTTCTGCATAAATACAGTAATTCTCGTACTGTATCAATGTTATTCATTTACATATCAGAGGTTTAATTTGAATAAAAATTTGGAAGCTTAAAAATTAAACACTTAAGGACAGGTGATAACAACAAAAGTTTGGATGCCTGGATTGGTATATATTTTTTTTACCTATTTTGGTTGTAAATGGTGTGAATAATAAATATCTAAAATAGTAAGAAATTCTAAACTTTCTAAGATGCTCAAAATCTTACCTTTCTGCAACCATTCTATTAATCTATACAAATTTTTATCATTTGAAATTCCATTATTGTGAAAATTTCAATGAAAAATTAAAATCCGTGCGGTTAAACTTATTCATTTTACTCATATAAATATGACTTAGGTTGTTATTTTTAGGATTTTTGATAAAAATCTGTATTTATCATCTTTCCTTAAAAAAAAAACAAACAAACGAACTCCCTTTCTTTGCCAAATTAAATGTCCTATAAATAATGAATGCACAAATGTCTCTAGCAAAGTGAACTTTCATTGATATTAGGACACAGTTTACAAAAGAAAGAAGTATATCTTTATGTTCTTGCCATACAAAATTGGATTAAAATTGAATTAAAAGCGTTCATGTATGATTGGCACGTACAGGACTTTTGTTTTCACTCGAACGGCAAAAAAAAAAAAATGAAATGTCACCTATTGTACAGAGTAGAC